GATTCATTAACATGTACACGTCCAAACAGGCATATTGCACATTTATATGTAAATCTAGATAATCCCAAATCTAGATAGGTAGATGCTTTGTGCTTAAAGTATTCAGTCATTGCAGATGGTTTTGAATGGGTATTTTTATGACAGTAACAGTGATATTAACCGCTAGAGCGCCAAAAGTTACATAGTGCTGCTTTAAGGCAGAAAGAGCACGCATTTGCCATCATTTATCAGCACAGCAGCGATTATTATTCCACTTTAGCTTAATTTAACCATCAGCTTTGCAGGAAAGGGTCACTGCAAAGCATTTATTCGATAATAACAATTTATGCTCGTTTGCGGTGGATAAATTTGGCAGTTTATACATTAAGGTCCATTCTGACAAGACATATGCAGATGTGAGTGCAACGACGAATACATGTTACACTGATGGCATACATACAAAACGTCTCATGTCACTTCATCATGACCCTCACCACTTCATTGTATGACATTTTATACTAAAGCACGAATATACTGTGCCTGTGAAATCGCACACACGTGAAGGAATGTGCTGGAGATTTGTACATCAGAGGTAATCTGTAATCACAGTAAGGCAGCGGCTCTTCCTGTCCTCTTTTACTCCAGAGACCTCGCAAACTCTGCATAGTCAATGTAGCCATCATTGTTTTTGTCATCGTCTCTGAGAACGTCATCAATGAGGTTGATGAGATCCTCTTCCGTCATTGGCTGGCTGTCATCTCCTCGTTCCTGAAAAACCAAGACCAGGTGACAATATTATAGGTGTAATAAAGAAAAAATACATGACAAATGATAAAAAGAGAGGCTGAAGCAAGTGTACTTGAGCTACGATTATAAAATTACATTACATTTAAATTCAAATTAAATTTAAAAAACATTTATATGCGTCATTCTAAAGTTAATATTATTCATTAATATGATAATAAACTGTGCGTAGGTGTGTCCGAACTGTAAACTGGTATAAAGTCAAGCTCAGAGCTGGATCACTCACCTCTCTGTGAACATGAGTAATGGCAGAGGCGAGCTCGAGTCCATCCAGCAGATTGTTGCCATCATAGTCGTGCATCTTGAAATAGTGAAGCTGCAGCTCTTGAGGCGTCATGTCCGACTCTGGCTTTTCAATCACCCCTTCTAAATGCTCCATGATGTGGCTACAACAGAACAGAAGAAAGCTTCAATTAAAGACTCGTGGAATAGTCACTATTCAACTCTGACCTTTGGTCGATTAAAGCTACAATTCACTGGAAGCAGCGACAGATCTTTTCTTTCCTATTGTGGCGCCTATCCAAGTGTATCAGATTAAAGAAAGAATTAACATAGTGCAGGGATTTGGTTCGATCCATTGATTTTGTGGTTGGATGTTGAATTACATTTCTATTTCTAATTATTTCTAAACAGCTTTGATAGAAATCAATTACACACGGTTTTCGTCAAATGCTGTTCTTGCCATTTTATGTCTGTAAAATGAACAGACATGACAATCTTTTTAAAAATGTTGTTCCTAGATATGTGCTCTGTCTGTATTGATGTTGCTTACAGTTGAAATTTTTTTTTATACCATTTTCAAGAAAGATTTGTATGTTTTCTGCATTTTAGTTGCACCACACGATTGACAGACAATTTTTTTTCCAAATATTCATTAGCAGCAGTTTTTTTTTCTAAAGAATAACAATTGAAGATTATGCCAAACCACTTTCTTCTGAAAAATGTTTTTTTTAATGTATATGTGTGTGTGTATATGTGTGTGTGAATATATATATATACACACACACACACACACACACACACACACACATACACACTGGTGTTTCAAATTTCCAAAATATTATAATTTAAATTATTTTCTATATGAATATATTTTAAAATGTTAATTATTCCTGTGATGTAAAGCTGTATTTCCAGCATCATTACTCCAGGCTTCAGTGTCACATGATCCTTCAGAAATCACTCTATTATGCTAACTGGTGCTCAGATTTTATCAGTTACTACTAGTGCTCAATTATTAATAATTACTAATAAGAATAATTATTAATCATTCTTTTTATCATCAATATTGAGAACAGCTTTTCTGCTTAATATTTTTGTGGAAAACACGATACATGATTGTTCGATGAATAGAAACTATAAAAGAACAGCATTTATTTGAAATATATATATATATATTTTGTAATATTATAAATGTCTTTACTGTCACATTTAAAAAAAATAATCATTTGAAAGGTTTCTTGCTAAATAAAAGTATTAATGTCTTTTTGGTAAAACTTACCCCCAAATTTTTGAATGGTAGCTTAATCATGATTTCTGAATGATTAGAATGATTTCTGAAGGATCATGTGACACTGAAGACTGGAGGAATGATGCTGAAAATACAGCTTTGCATCACAGGAATAAATTACTGGAAAAATACATTTAAAAAAATAGAAAACAGTTACTTTAAATTGTAATTATATTTCCTCAATATTACTGTTTTTGCTGTATTTCTGATCACATAAACAGCCTTGGTGACATTTTAAAAATCTTAATCATTCTAAATTTTCTCAGTTCTGAGGATGGATTAAGTATGACCTTTGTTTTCCTGACATGTTATTAGCTGGAAGACAGACAGACAGACAGACAGACAGCCGGAGATCAGGACAGAATATCATTTGGCAAATAGTGCTTTTTAGAGAATAATCAAAGCTAAATCAACAAACACTATCGACATACATATCACATGAACAGCTTCACTGATTTGGATATGTGCATAGGTCCTAAAAACAAGTTTTGAAGTAATGGAAAACTACTCACTCTTTATCCTGAACCATATTCCTGTCCAGCCGGGTGATTGGTGGAGGCACTTGATTTGAAGCAGCTGCTTCTCCATGCTGTCCTCCATGAGCCCACACAGTCAGCATACAGCTGGAGCAGAGCAGGAACCAGCTCCATAATCTCAGCTGCTCAGACCTGTCTTTCAATCTCATTACACTGAAATCACGAGGTAATAAGACGAGTTCACGCGAGAATAAGAATGACAGCTCCATTCATTACTGCTGACGAACATCTGACCAATGACAGCAAACACACAATATAAAAACCATACTGATTATACAAAATATCTATAATGAAAAAACTGTATATTTTTATCCACAAATCTGATGGTAATGAGAAATGGGCGCATGTGGCTGACATATGGAAGCACGAAAGAAATCAAAAGAGATCGTGGAGGAAAGCAATAACATAATTACTAAATATAATCAACGTTAAGCATGTGAAAGAATACAAAGATAGATATGAATACGGAAATATTAAGTTACAGGAAGAGCAGTCTAGACACTCAAACAGCAGTTGTAGGCGTTGCCCGTTACACAGTCATCTGAACGCTTTTCTGCGTTCCTCCTAATACATCTTACAGCGATATAACAACATACACATGCAGATTTACTCACCTGCTATGAATCACAGCTGACGGGTGAATATTCGCTCTATTTGTTCAGGCACAGAGGAGTAACCATGAACTCCTGCTGATGTTTACTCAGCGCCGCTCTTTCTGACCGCCTTAGCTTGCCGTAGTTACCTTTCACCTCATGGACACGACAGCTAAACTCTGATTGGACGCGATAGTTTTTTTGTTTGTTTTGTTTATATATATATATATATATATATATATACACACACACACACAATGTTTTAAATGTTATTATGTTTTATTTTATGTGAACAATAATAAAACAATATGAACAATAATAAAAACGTTAAAATATGTTTTGCTTTTATGTAAACTATAAATAAAAGCTTTAAAAAATGTTTTAATTTAATTTAATTATATTTTATAATGTTTTATTTTATGTGAACACAGTAAAAATACAATGTGTTACATATCAGGATGGAAGAAAAAAAAACACTATATTAAAAACTATACCGAATTTTACAAAGGTAATAAAAAACGTTACAATATGTTTTGCTCTGATTAATATATACTTACATACTATACTTATACTTACATGTAAAATATTTAAATATCAAAATCTGACTAAAAAGTGACAGAAAATGTAATCCTATAAAGCTAAATTTCAACGATATATAAGAAAATGTACTGAATTCTAGTGGCTCAGCTTTTTAACTTATCTCTTTGTAATTCTTATTGGAATAACATCTTTTTAAAATGTTTTTCATTTAATTAAATTTTTCATTCAATTTAATAATTTGATGAGTTGGGCGAAAAAATGCACTATATTAAAAGCTATACCTAATTTTCCAGCAATAATAATAATAAAAACAAACCGTTAAAATATGTCTTGCTCTTATATACTTAAACTGTTACAGAAATACAAAAATCTGACTGAAAAGTCACAAAACTCTAAACCTAAAAGCTAATTATATAATATATAAGTGCTGTCAAACGATTAATCGCGATTAATCGCATCCAAAATAAACGTTTTTGTTTACATACTATATGTGTCTGTACTGTGTATATTTATTATGTATATATAAACACACACATATGATATGCAGTATATATTTTAAAAATATTTACATGTATTTACATGTATATGTTTATATTAATGTAATTTATATTATATATAAATATATTTAATATATAAACATAACAAATTTCTCTTAAATATATACATGCATATGTGCGTATTTATATATACATAATAAATATACACAGTACACACACGTTCATTTTGGATGCGATTAATCGCGATTAATCGTTTGACAGCGTTAAATATATATGTATATAAGAAAATATACCGAATTCCAATGGCTCAGTTTTTTATATGATTTATTTATTTATATGTAGTTGTTGTTTTTTTTAGCCTATTAAGCCCAAGAATCACCTTCTCAAATTTCAAAGCGATATCAAGAATAGAAATAAATTAGAAATGATGCAGATTTTTTTCCAGGTCAGGACGGCCAGGACGGCTGCACGCTGATTGGATTTGAGTAGTGCGTCATAAAGCCGAGTCTAGCGCACTGGGCAGTAATAATCCACACAGCAGCCGAGGAATGAATGAGCTCGTTTAGGACTCTCGGATGATGAGGATTTTGTGCCTAGTTAATCAATCACCTCGGTCATCTGCATGGCAAACCTCTGCAAAGAAAACGAGAGGGCCAAAGCTATTTTCCGACGACTGGTTCGTTCTTGGTGTCGTAGAAATGAGACTTTAGGATAGCTAGTAGGGCGTGATGTTTCCTAGCAACCGTAGCTCTCCGAGCATTGGATGCAGGTGGATAATGGATATTTTATAGGCGGTCGATGAGTGATTGTTCCATTATTGGACTTTATGAAGTTTATAAAACCCATGTTATTTTGATAGCTGGAAAAAATATACATTTAATGCACTACTTAAAAAGTACTCTAAATGTGTTTTTGGCATAAGTTGTTCCAACTGCCCACAAGATATCACTGATATAAATGGGGGAAAAAGTTGAATTTTGTCGAATTTCAGGAGTTACGCTACCAGCATGCAGATGACTTCAAAGCTAGCAGGTGTGACCTTAAAGCAATAAATCAATAAGTTAGTAAGAACATTAAAATGCAGTCCCATTTTATAGGCTAAGTTTTTGTGGGTGTACATGTGTGGCTCAGTTTGTCGTCCACTAGATGGCGCCACTGTTTCGGTGGGGTTGAGGACAGGCGTCTCATTTTATTGCATATTGCATTCTGTGGCAGGTGTTTGCATATTTTCATCTAAGCAGACTCATGACCTGGTCTCATTCCAGACTATGATGGAAGCAGCTCCCTCTCTTGATCTGATAATTCAATTACAACAAGCCCTGCAAATAGTTTACACAATATAATTGGTTAAATAGATTTAGTCATCCAGCAGTGGAGAGATTTCAGGGAAATAGCCATAGGACATAGGCTAGTCATCAAGGACAAGGCCTTGCTTTGGGGAGAAAAAAAAGACTGTTAAACTACATTTGCGACCCTGGACCACAACCAGTACTAAGGGTCAATTTTTGGAAATTAAGATTTATACATCATCTGAAAGCTGAATAAATAAGCTTTCCATTGATGTATGGTTTGTTAGGATAGGACAATATTTGGCCGAGATAAAGTTGTTCAAATGAAGTTCTTAGCAATGCATATTACTAATCAAAAATTAAGTTTTGGTATATTTACGGTAGGAAATTTACAAAATATCTTAATGGAACATGATCTTTACTTAATATCCTAATGATTTTTGGCATAAAAGAAAAATCGATAATTTTGACCCATATTGGCTATTGCTACAAATATACCCGTGCTACTTTTTTGTGCTCCAGGGTAACATTTATAGTCTAAACAGACACTTAACACATTCCTGTTGTGGGTTTATAAGACTGAGACTTTTGTGAGTCTTTTTTCTTTTTAAAGGAATAGATGACCCAAAAATGAAAAACTGCTGAATATGGACTCATTCTCAGGGCATCTTAGATGTAGATGAGTTTGTTTCTTTGTCTGAACAGATTTGGAAATGTATAAATCACTTGCTCAGCGATGGATGCTGCTCTGCAGTGAATGGGTGCCGTCAGAATGAGAGTTGAAACAGCTGATAAAAACATCAGAATAATCCACAAGTAATCCACCTGACTCCCATCCATCCACTAATGTCTTGTGAATGGAAAAGCTGTGTGTTTGTAAGAAACAAATCCAACATTAATTTATTTTTACTTTAAATTGTCATTTTTGGCCAAATTAGCAGTCAATAATCCATAATAATGCTTCTTCTAGTGAAAAATCCATCCCCTTTTCTCCTCTCACAGAAAAATCCACTGACATTTGTTTAGAACTGTTATGAACTATTTATAGAAAATGTAGCTATCTGCATAAAACCAAACTGATTCCATTAGCTAGGCCCACATGTCACCGCCCTCGTTTTGATTCCGCAAATCAGTTCATTTGATCGGAAGCAGACAACTTGATTAATATTCATAAGCCCAACATGCTGTTGAAAATTAGCGCAACAGATAAGAAATTACTCATATTTCTAGGCTATAATTATAATAATATATTTCATATTTTTCACAGATAATATGAATTATGACTTTTTTCATTCATACTTATATTAAACGTTTTAGTTCTATAACCCTTAAATTCTATCATAAAAAAGCTTGAATGATGTTCAGCTATGCGATATAATATCACGATTCACGATATTCTTAAAGTTCTTTAGGCTATACATGTGTACTAAAGAGAGGCTGATGATAGCCTATTAGAATAGCAAATAAAATAAAAAATTCAATAAATTCATATGGTCAGTCATGAGGGAACGCTGAGTGAAATTTAATGTGTTTTACAAAGTTTGGTGCAACTGCTGGGAAACTCGACTAAATGTAGCGATCAATATTCTTCAGTCACTGAAATGGGCAAAGTCTTGTAATGTTTGTTGCTCTAACCATAATCAAACACACCTGAACCAGCTAATCAAGGTCTTAGGCTATACTTGAAACTTCCAGTAAGGTCGGTGTGTTGAGGAAAGTTGGAGCTAAACTCTGCAGGACACCGGCCCTCCAGGACTGAGCTTGGTGACCCCTGTTGTACATTATGCATTCATTTTCTGGACACCCTTCTTTATGCATACTGCCAGTAAGATTTATGATACTGAAAAAAGTAATATTTTTATTCAGTAAGGATGTATTATGTTGATCAAAGACCTTTATAATGTTACAAAATATTTATCTTTCAAATAAATGCTGTAATTGTTTTCTATTGATCAAAGAAATATCAGGAATAAATATTAAGCAGCACAAATGTTTGTTTTTTTTAACATTGATAATAACGAAAAATCATTCTTGAGCACCAAATCAGCATGTTATAATCATTTCTGAAGGATCATGTGACACTAAAGACAAATTTCAGCTTTGCGTCACAGGAATAAGTTGCATTTTACAAAAGTAGTAAGCGAGAAAGTAGAAAGCAATTCTTTTAAATTGTAACACGATTTCAAGATATGACTGTTTTACTGAATGTTTGATCAAATAAACGCAACCTTGGTATGCATAAAATACTTTATTTTGACCCAAATATTTATAAAACCCAAATATTTTGAACAGTAGTGTATGCTTTAATTTGAAGGAAAACAGGAGTTGCTAAATTTGTGTTCCACAGAAGAAAAAATCTCGATTTGGCCTACAGTGGCATGACAAATGTAAATAAATGTTACTTTTTTGGATGAACTATCTCTTTAAGATTTAGAATTAAAAACCCAGTCTTCTCACTTTCACAAAGGTGGTAAAAGATAAACATGCTGCCTAAACATGTCTCATGTTCATTGTTAAATCAACAGAAGTTAACACATGGCACTCCCAGGAGGTGTGTCCACCACTGTCCAAATCCGATCTCTGACCCAGCACGTCTTGTTTCGCCATTGCAAACACCCAGACACTAATTTCCCTGTGGGGAAACAAACTCAGTCAGTAAAAGGTGGCCACAGAACATAGTATTCAGTGTATTTTACAAATGCTACCAAGGGTTTTTGAGTGATGTACTGTAGTTACTTCATATTCAGTAAGGAAATGTCATGCATAAACCTGACATACAGTATAACTGCAAGTCTAGATTCAGTAGGGAGTGAAAAGTTGAACCAAACAGGAAACACCTCATCCACAGTGTTTATACAAAATATGCATGAAGGCAAAGCGAATATTTTCGAAGCACCTTCTTGCTGTATACCGTTAAGTTAAAACAAACACACTTAACTCTCTAAACCTGATCAGAATGCTGTTGTAGATTAGTATCCAAACTAGACATTCTGTCATGATAAAGTCCACCCTTGGATGAAAAATGTTGGTGTTGCTGGTGAGCATTTTATCCTTAAAGTAACCCAAAGAAGGTGCCATAATCAGCCAACATCAAGCATGTTCTAGTCTTTCTTCTTCAACCTTTGCCCAACTTCCGTCTCTGTTTGTCTGTAGAGGATTACAGGACGCTGCTGCTGGCAGAAGCTCTGTTAGAGGAATGTCTGCTGGAGAACACGACCCTGCTGAAGAATTCTACATTTCTGACTGAACAATCACAGCCCAAACTAGCCCGAGCCAAAGCTCACCTCGACAGCATCCTTAACAGAGGACGCCTGGAGGTCTGGCACAGCACCTACCTGAGTTTCTTTGTTTCTCAAGTCTCTCTGTCAGTTAAGCATCTCTGAGAAAGAGGCATGGATTGCAGAAGCACTTTTGGTGATTTTAGTTCAGTTTTGTGTACTTAAATTCCATCAGTTTTATTAACTTAGTTAGATAACAAAATACCAAACCAATAAGTATCTGCAAACAATGGTGCAACAGTTTTCTCTCTCTCAAAACATCACTTTTCTGAGCACTTTTTTTTCTTTGTGCTTAAAAAAGTACTTTATTTATTTATTTGTACTGTATTGATTTGCACATTTATTAATACTGTATTCTTTGATATTTTATCATTTAAAGAAAAAAAAGAAAATTTATGTTTTTTTTGTCCTTGTTGTTAGAAGAACATTTAGAAGGATGCAAAAACCCTGTAGTGCATGCATGTCATCTATACATTTATTCTCTATTTAAATTGTCAGTAGGCTTGCACAATTAATCAAAATAAAACCGAAGTCGTGAAATGGCTTAATGCAATTCAAAATGTCCAAAGACTGGGACTTGCGTTGTGTGTTTCAGAGTGAAGTATGGCACTGTGTTCATTTATACGTGAGCAGCTCACGATCTCCTGTTTTCAGTGTCTCAGAGCAGTTCGGTTTACAGTAAATGCTGCTCCACACAAACTCATCTCTCTCGCTTTAATGTGCATTTGTGAAGTGCCAACCATCTTCCCATACTTGTAATGAGAAATACTGATTAACAAAAGAGAAGCTTTAAGGAATCCGTGTTTTCTGTCAAAACAAAAATTTGGTAGTTCAACATTTAAAAATCGTAAATCCGTAACTTTTTTATTTTACAGTGAAATATTACTAAAGTAATATTTCATATTTCGTTTGTATTTAGTAATGTATATATTTTTATACAATAATAAAAATAATAATAACATTTTAAAGCCATATTGATATATAATCACAAACATTTGGCCAAATTGAGCAGCCCTATAAACATTTTTAAATCGCAATCACAATTTTGATCATAAAAATCACAATTAGATTTTTTCCTCAAATCGTTCAGATCTAATTATCAGTGATTTTCGGTCTCTTCCCCTGTAGCCGCACTACCTGAATGAAGCTCTGCTCCTGCTGTCTAAAGTGCACTATGTTCAGGGACGCTACAGGGACGCCCAGGGCATATGTGCCAGAGCAGGTGTGGATGATTTCACCCGCCACGAGAAGCCTGTCTACCAACTACGCATGCTGGCAGAGGCCTTTGTCATCAAAGGTATGAACAGTTGAGAAATCACCAGTGTTGGGTAGTAACTAGTTACATGTAACGGAATTACGTAATTTAATTACAAAACAAAAGTAATTGTAATCAGTTACAGTTACTGAGAAAAAATGTGTAATTAAATTACAGTTACTTATTAAAATGTTAAGGATTACAAAGGGGGTTACATCTGCTTTTTTCACACACACTCCCACATCCAGATGTAATTGATTTCTTTCATAAATTGCAGTGACTGCTCTAAAATATGAAACATGCTTATTCGATAACTCTTTTATTTCCTATATGGGTTTATGTAGCTATGCTTCATTTTTTAAAAAGATTAACTGTTTTTTTCCAAGGCATTGTTAGATTCCAGTGTTTACTGTCATAGCTATGTAAAGATTTGATTCCAAAAACAGTATCATAGCTAATAAAATATTTATTGTTATGATTTTAAATATGTATTTAACCTCAGAATGATCTCAAAGTAAGTCTG